TAATAACAGTCAAAATGAAATGTGCAATAACAGTCGCGGGTTCCGGAGAGTCTAATCCAGCCTCCCCCCCCCCACAAACACACCCAAAAAAATCCCCTCGGCGTGTGAAGCAGTGTATTTAGTAGGACGTGGCGTTGTTCTCGATACTAGGCGATGATTATGACATCTGAGTGGCTAGAACAGTGAATCGACTTGAGAACCGGAACAGAGTACATGGACCAACATACAGCAGAAGGTCGTGACAGAGTTGAAGCAGNAAGCAGCGGCACGACAGACTTCCGAATCCGGTCCATAATTTTTCACGTTATTTGATTGGCAGTCAGGCAAGAGGAAGTTAGTGACGACTACAAGGAATAAGGAAAGAAGTCTTCAGTGGGAAGCAGTTTGAGTTTTAGCGAATAACCGTTGGGCCTTGTAAGGCGCCGACAAATTCAAACGATTACTGATAGAGGTTCAGAAATTTGACGGTGTTGTTATCGTCTACGGATATGATATCAGGGTATTTTCAAAAACGGTCGAACATGGGTCTAGATTGAGATCAGCCCTGAATTGAACCAAGGAGCAAAGTTTGAGGCTGGGGCCCAAGCAAAATCAGGTCGCTCGTCGTGACGGTAAAATCAAACCACTGTCCGAAAAAGTAGAAAGACGATACGTATTGATTCGCATCATCTAGATTTTGTGGTACCCCAAATAGTTTAGTGTTACTCAAATGTCATTTCGCTTGGGAAATGTGAATACTTAAAAATACACTGTAAAACACCTGGGAATGGATTTGTCAAATTTTCTTCTTGTGCATCAATCGAGATTACCATAAATTTTCCCTGTTTCCAGCGTATACCACAATAGTGGCAACGGGTTATTTGTCCACGGTAAATTGTACCATATTCGGAATACTGAGGAAAAACCGCTTTTCGAATGGACGTTTCACGAATCATTGGTTCGTTGAGTGAGTGACTGATTGCTGTTTCTTGGTTGTTGGGTCCGAATCACCTAGCCAGTCCCCGTTTCCGCCACACAGGGCTTAGGTACTCGGGAGAGCGCTCGAGCAAGCCCGCACATTTTCAGAATTTTGTCACCGAGTTCATTAGCATTTTCGCCCTGTCGCATCAACCACGAGTGCACTCGGTGTTCACGCTTCAGTGACGTCACAAACACCGGTAGTGTCTTGCGCCCAATCGGCTTCGGTAAAGGGGAACTGCAGACAAGTCATCCCATCCAAACTCACAACCGCCCCGCCCCGGAACAAAAGAAGAGCAAAACCGAATAACGCTTTAGTCAATTCGTTCTTTTTCTATGAAATCTCGCAGCCCAGTGACAGTACAGGATGGGCGAGAGAGAGGTTGAAACTGACTGCGAGAGAGAGAATGAGGTTTCACAAGCGAGAGCACACGTGTGTCGGATCACTTTTCAATAGTTTGCCCGGAAAGAGATCTGTTCCGGCGGCTGCGCACATTTTGTCCTCATCCGACCGTATCCAATGGTTGCATCATCATCAGCAGCAGCAAGCCTCGTTTGTTGTCAGACGCGTTAGATGGGCGCAGTCACGGCTGGATGGTGCATGCACCTACCAATGGCAAATTGTCAGGTTGAATGCGCAAGTGAGAACGGCAACGATTGTCCCCTAATAGCGACTACATTCTGGCACTTGAACTGGGAAGGCCAGAAAGCAACGGGATTAGAACCACCACACACATAAATAGTCCCCGGTCGGGAATCAACATTAGCATATTTGCGACATTGAACGTCTGGTTAGCACTAGCAAATTTACTAGTTGACAGGTGAAAAGCACCTCGGATCGCATCAGGCTGAGGCGACCGAAAATGAAGTAATTCACAATAATTTCATTCGACAACAAAACATAATAAATGTGGTGGAATATTTGACACTGAAGTCCTCGAACCACTTTTGTTCTCGTTTCAATTGTTGGCAGATTTTTAGAAGTTTTCATTTAATCTGATGATAAAAATATCCCTAGCCTCGGTGGGATTCGAGTTCATGAGTTTTTCATAATCGGATTATATTAAAAAGATTATAATTATTTGCTAACTAATGAATCTTTACTGATTTTCTTTACTAGACTTTACCTAGTAGACTACGGTGATTCGAAAGAAAATCTGTCGTGATAGTCAGCTGACATGCTCCTCTGTGTGTCCACGTGTCCGCATGTTGGGTGGTTATGGGTGAAACAATCAGAACTATTGGAGTGTGATCTCGTAGCTCATCTGCTAGAGCGCCCGCTATCCTGAGGGGTCCAGGAGGTAGAACGACTTTCCAATATCCTTATTTGGTAACTGCCAGTAGGCAGTTTAGATGAATTCCACTGTTGTTACGAACAGGCAGGCTTCTTGGATCGGCCTTACTTGCCAATTAGGAGCACACTTCTCGATAAAAAAGATAATGTGATTCAAACAAGATGATAGAAAGACCTATCCATATTCAGAACTAATTCGTCGGAGGTGTACAACCAATTAGCACTATAGAACAGCCACCACGTCTAAGTTCTCTGGAACTGCTAAACCGCAATTTCGACCTATTCTGGGATTAATGGGTAGCATCATTATCGTACAATGCGCCATGGCATTGAATATTTGAACAAATTTCCTGACCTTTTCACTTATCAAACGAAACAACAAATGACCTCTGTGATGGATGGGTAACAGTTGAAAATAACTCACCACCAACACCATTCACGTGAAATGTTTAAATCGAGGTTTGCAATGGCTCTGATTGGATTTCTTTTGAAAAAGGCCACATCTGATTAGGCTACATCGTGGCATCAAGACACCGCTAAAACACGTACACCGAGTTATCTTCGTGCATTGATGAAGCACACGTTCCGGTCAAAGATAAATCAAATCCAAGCTGTTATTAAAACTTCGAATTTTTAATCAAACTCTGTCACCATTCGACGAAAAAAAATCACCGTAATAAATGCTCCTGAGTGTCTTCCGTCAATTTTAATACAGGCATTACCAATGACACTCTATTAATATCTGTCCCCTGAGAAGAATCCTGTCAAGTGAAAATTGATATTTATCGCACCAGTGACAAAATGGAAAATTCGCTTTATATCGAGCACATAAGATAGACCGGAGGCATGAAAAATCTCTTCATTTTGACTTACCATGATGCAATGTAGGCGACGTCCATGCGTGAACTCGAATCCCATTGAGATTCGCGACCCTCCCTTATTATAATGAAAAGAACTTTTTCTTCATATTAACGAATGCAATTTACTGCCTTTGTGCACGTGGTTAGATATACCGACTCCACCCTCCAGTTGTGAACATTTTCGAGCCCCCCAAATTATCCTTGACGATTACTGACCTGGGGGATAGCCTTATAATCAAACCATTGATGTGCTACTCAGATTGAGTTACCATTTCATTTGGAATAAAGAATGCAAGTGATGAAGCAGTGAGTCACTCAACGGGACAGCAACGGTTTGAGCGCATTGTTCTAGGCACCCGATTTTTACGTCATGCTTCGAGGGCATGGGAACAAATTCACATCAAGCGTTCACACTCAACAAGACCCGATACGATCTGACGGATGCATGGTTCCAAATGCGTTCACTGCGCAACGTTCCCTCAGATGCTTGCAAAGATGGGTTATACCACAATGTGTACAGACTGAATAAAAATCGGTCCCACCGGTTAAATCGGTAGTACGGCTACGGTCTACAAGTAGGATTCTTTGTCCGCGATCCTCAGTTGGGTTGATGAATTCGCACTGACGATAAGCCCCGACTGTACTTCAGTTCATGACGTAATTCAACATATCACCGAAACAAATGCCCCAATAGTCCCCGGGTAAAGTGACGTTCAGTGAAATTGGCGGAATGATACATCTAAGCCCAATAGAAGCACAGCGTTTAGGCCGCCGGAAAGAAGTTGTCTTCACTGGAAAGTCGTCGTGTATATGATTTCACATACTCCTGCTTTAGCCCATCCGATCTCACAACTGTAAGTCAATGTGTTGATCAATTAGAGTAAAAGATCTTTGATTCCTCATTATTTGGGCCCCCTTTTTGTTGATGAATGATTCACGAAAAGATCCGAACGACCGCGTTACACGTGTTGAGATATTATTGTCCACCTGGATCTGAACAGCTGGCGCTGTGAAAACACCAAATCAATTACCTGTCTGACGAAAAACCTCCAAGGTTCTTCTCAGTTATAAATTACTTCTGATTGTCCAGTTCTCTTCCTCTTTTTTCTAGCAAATTGTGTTTTCTGTTGTATCAGCCTATCCGCAACACTTCCGAAATTTATTTAGATGCCAAACTATTCAACAAATCCGAACTTCAATCCGACCCAATAAAACACAGATTCCAGTAACCAAAGACCAGAAACAGAACTCTATTTGAGTCCAGTTAAGTAATGCTTTGTGGAGATCCTCACAAACTTGATGCACCAGTCGAAGATCGAGATGGTCAGTTCTCACAATTGGACACTTGAATACTCAACCACTTTGTCAGATCTTTCTCTCTATCTCACGGTCAATGTGTTTCCCTCTCCGCGGATTTTTCATCTCCCAGTTGTACCCGCGCGGACAAAATTCTATGATATTATGACGCGGCATGACTTTGATTCTCTACGCCTGATAATTTCGGCCACCAGTTCAATCGCACAAATGAACAGAGATCGTATAGCCTCTGGTATGAAATGAACTATTTTTATCGTATACAAGCTGTTGCTTTTATTCAACCCGCAGGGATTTTGACACAGATGAGTCGATCGTCTGGAAAATGTGAAACGATAAATGCTGTACACAGTATGATGTGTGAGAAATATCGCATAACTTACTCTTACTCGGCCGTCAGATGTGGATCATAGTAAATGTGGGACAATGCGTAGCAAACAATCAGGTTTTATTAGGTGAAATAAGCCTGATTGAAAAAATAGAAGTTGGGAAAAAGGGAAGGATACAGAACTTTACAAGATGCGCCGAAATAAATCGACACTGACGTGGAACGAGAGGCGACAGGCCACCCGATTCTACCACTGGCCAATCGGTGCACTGGGAAGCAGTCGAACACGAGCAAGCATTTTTCGAGAAATGAGGGGAATCACAAGGGATGGCTTAGAATCGGTGGAATCATAGTGTGACTCAGTGCTTGTTGCCAGTGCTGTTGCACTTGCGTCGTCCATGATGTGCGACGCAGGCAGACAGTAGCCTAATCCAATTTCCACGGTCCCAGCGTCAGACCAACGACCAGCACTCAGTTCCAAATGTGTACGGAGTTCAACTCGATAAACATCGTGATCTGATCGTGTCCCATCGGTGGTAGTGGTGGTCGTTGTCGTCGTTGTGGTGAAACCCTCGTCCAACGGGTGCCAAGCACCAGCCGGAGGCCACCATTGGTGGAACAAGGCAGTCCACAAATCATGCGAGCCACCGAATCCGGGACATCCATCCGCCTGTGCATTACCAGCGGGTAAATCCGGTCGTCGAAACAGTACACAAACACGTTGTCTGATGCACGTGGAAATAGATATAAAGATGAAACAGTTAGTTAAAGGAAACTGATTAGACAAACAAGTTGATGCTATGACCTCAGATCGGTAGATTTTCAACAACCCCTATCCTGCGTTTGATCTGTTGACAATCTGGATGATGAGTATAACCGCTGTTATAAATGAAAAAGAAAAACCCCGAACACATCCAATCCAGCTGCAACAGCATTTCCATGGTTGGGAAATAGCTCCCAACTCAAATTTCACGTTCAGTTTGATTCACATTATGCTAAAGTGGCGAGGCGACGATAAACAGATGTGAGGTCCAGGACGAACACACAATCTGAATAAGGATAAAACAATGAACCCACCCAACAGACAGGGAGAAACTTGTTATTACGCATAATAGCGTGTGAAAAGAGAGAAATCTTTTTCGGTATGACCGACCGTACTTCAGAGTTCATCCCCTCATACATTCCTCATTTAGATTATTCATTCAGCTATCTACTTGGTAAGCATCAAAATCGGCGCACGAAAGCGCAACATTAGTGGTTGTACAAACTGGAACTGAAACGAACCGCTTGGTAAACAAATGACCCGAGTTTGACTGTAATTAGATATCATCTGTGGCATATAACCATCGGCCAATCGGATATTCACACGCCAGACCAGTCGTAGGAAAAGCATACGTGTTAACTCTGTGCCAAACAGTTCGCAACGTAGCTCTCACCAGAATTACCGATTCCAGTTTGTCTGGACATTCATTCAGTCGCTAACCGGACAGTGTGTAATCAAAAGGCTCCCACAAGAAAACAACTTTGTCCCAGGCTTACTTGCTCATCCTCAAACGCCAAAGCTGAATAAACATCAATCAATACAGGAAACGCACGCCTTCATGACCGAGCTTGAAGTGCTGATGAATATGTACGGTTTCCGATGAGGCATATGCAACAATGGAGCACTGCTTTCAACGCTTCTCTTTGATCCGCATGTAACACGTTGACATTACAGGATGAATAATTGTGTGACTTTTTTAAAACGTGAGTGTTTTTGCTCGGAGAGGAGAGGGGAACCCTTGTATCAATTAACGATCAATATAATTCATTATTCAACAGTTGAAAGTAGAGATTTGCAGAGAATTTAATAACTTGAACATATTTTTTTAAATACACAGTGACATAACTTTCAATTAGGATAGTCCGTTATTCCAACCAGTTAAGACATTGACCAACATCAATCGGTTTCATTATCCCTCCAACCATGGCCTAGTGGCTTAAACCGATTAATTGACTTTCGTCCATATGAGAATAAGTCGCCAACATGGAGCAATCATGTGTAAAGAATCTGAGAAGTAAAGTACAAAGGGTCATCCGACAATAACACTCGATTTTATTCTCCAAAGGTGCGCCTTCTACCCTGTGATGGTGATGACTTTAGCTAGCAACTAACCTGTTTCGAATACACCAAAGATTGTGGCTTCACAGTAAAGGGAGTTCTTTTGTCAGGTGGAAACCCGTCACGTCCTCAAATGTAGCCGTTAATGGTTCTTTATCACGTATTCCGTGAAGTCATGATCACCTATTCACACTCAACCACTTTAGAGGTCAAACGAGGTTTCCCGTCAGGAATTTGTAAATAGAAAACTTGTCAAAAGTCATTGGAAAATAGACAAAAATTTCCATGTCTCGATTACATGCATACCTATAATGGAAAGGTGATAGAGCACCATTTTTGTTCTACTTTATGACATTGACGTACATTATTCCAATTTGAAGCTTGCATCGAGAATGTGTAAGAACGAAGAGTGTTGCTGGACGGACTTCGGGGCCACACAATGCACACACAACACACACACTACTACAGGAGTATGGCGAGGTATCAAAATTTGGATGTGAACCAATAAGATGGCTTCGTTCATCCATGAAAATCGGAGAAGTTATAAAAATTTCTCCTATGCCCTATTCACTGAGGTTTGATCAGATACGCTGATGATGCTAAAAATGGTTCTAATCAACCGGAGACTCGCCTGTTCATGGACCAATACCAAAAATTCTCTAACGATCCCTGGCGATAGAACTATCCGGTGACATCTTGATTCCCTAGTCAAAAATGACCGTGTTAATTCAACTGGACACAAGAGCTCAAAGGTAAGAATTCGATGGGTGATGCAAGTATTCCTACGACCACAGGATATCAATTTTATAACTTCGATTACTCATCAAGCAAAACTGTACCAATCACCTGGTTTTCAAGTTAACGGCAGAAATCCTTACATGTTTCTCAAAATAACGAAAGATAACCCAGTGTTTACATAACGTCAAATTTTAAACTATTTGTAGTATTGCTTTTCGACTGCTTTGGCTGATTTAGAATGACCCCGAAGCCGCTGGAAACTCTAAGTTTAAGTACACCGAGACCAAAAGCCCATCACTGTCACTCTGTTGACCTTCCCACAGCACTTGGCTGTGCAAGGGCTACAGGCACATTTTCAGAGAATAATATCGAGTTTTTCGCGGATACCTCTTTATGGATGATTCCTTCAAGGTGACTTATGTTCACGTGGGAGTCGTTGAAGTTTAACAGCCAACCACTCATCGCACACCGATACGCGTAGGGCTACTTGGCACATAAGTCGCCAATTATGCGAGCCAAAAATTGACACACTTAGTAAATCAACGGGTCAGCGAATACAAACACTTTTATACCAAAATCAAGTGTGCAAGAGAGTGTAGATTTATTGTACCTTGTTCTAATAAAGTTCACTTCTGTGGGTGAAGTTTTGGTTCCAACCCGGGAGACTTCGGCTTGAGTTCAGGGAGGAACGTAAAGACAGTGTGCACTTCTGACGAGTGAAAATAGAAATGCAACCACCAGCCGGTAATGCGTGTTGGTCATTGCACACGACCCCACCAAAAACAAAATTTCGGAAGCGAGCGAGGAATGGACAAACTCTAAACGAGCGTTTGTCAATAAAATACACATAGATTTTGTTGTATGCGAATTCCAATGGACTGAAGAAATATTACGTTAAATTGAAGGACGCAAAGCATTTTGCATTAGCACAATGTGGCACTGCACTTTCTCTCACGCGCGCACGCGAGAGAGAAAGAGAGAGAGAATATAGCAAATCTTGAACTGCCATCACGACGAGACTGTACCTCGACGTGGCGTGATGGCTCCTCACAGCTGAAGATCCAATCATGCCTGAAAGGTCAACGGGTAGAGACCAGACGAAGACCAGCTGCTTGGGCACCTCCAGGCTTTCTTTTTTCTATCCACACCCGCCCCTGGAGACGTCACTCCAGCAAATAAACACAGTGAGGGTCAAAAAAAGCCCGCAAGATGGACATAGGAGCGGGGTACCTGGGGCTTCCTCTCGACAGTGGGAGAAGTCTTCGGACTTCATTAGATACCTACCGCCCGCCCAAGCTGGGCAGCCCCCAACCAATAACGTTCTGTCCCGTTCAAGCTCCGTTTGTCTCATTGGGTGCATGAGGCTAAGGGCCGATCCCGAACAGTGGACCGATAATCAACGCACCAGCGAACAACACAACTAATCGAAATTCAAAGGCCTTGCGTGACAGGTCTCCAGAAGCTCCCACACGGGTATTTCGTTCACGCTCCCGGGTTGCATTTACACCCCACTACCTAGTGGGTCAGACTTTTGAGTTAAGGGCTCCGGTTAGGGTTCCCAAAGAAAAACCCCTCCATCGGTGTGGGCTACCGCGAAGAATGCCGTGCCTCAAAGTCTTAAGCACTCATCTGGACAACCCTCCTTCCCATTTGTCTAGTTCTTCCTCGCAATCCCGAATAATCCCAAACGCTTGCTGTTTACAAGACCCATTGGAAATCACTCAGCGTTTTACCATCAAGGCCAGAGATTCAGAAGCTATAGAATTTTTAAATCCAAAACCCCCTTTCACTTAGCCGAGTTCAATGTCCGCACACTCTATTACATCGGTCAACAAGCTGCCTTAGCTACAGCTCTCGAAAATTTCAATATAGATGTATGTTGTGTCTCCGAAACACGCATACAAGACCTCACTTCCATTATCTCTCTGCGTCCTCCTGATCCAACCTCAACTTCACACTTCACCCTTCGTGTGTCAGGCGACTCGGCGTCCGAAGCTCGCGGTGTTGTTGGTGTCGGAATTGCGCTAAGTGCCCAGGCTGAACGCCCGCTTCTCGACCGGATTCCAATCAGTAGCCGACTGTGCGCCGTACATCTCAACGGTTCAGCGCAGGTCAACAGCTACAGAACGAGGAGTCGATGTCTATTCGTTGTCAGTGTATGAACCGACCGATTGCAGTACACCTGAAATCAAGGATGAATTCTACAAGGACGTTTCTCGATTACTCCAAAGCGTTCGATCAACGGACATCGTGGTAATCGCCGGAGACTTCAATCCTCAAGTGGGATCCCTGGACGAATCAGAAAGGCTTCTTGGCGGACCACATGCAATCCCAGCGATCGCCTACTTCAACTGTGTGCGACCACGGACTTTTCCTGTCAAGAACCAACTTCTCGCACAAGAAACGACACCGCCTTACATGGAAACCATCTACCTCTTCACAGCACTGGGCCCAAATCGACCACATCGCTATCAGTTACCGCTGGAGGAGATCGATTCAAGACTGCCGCTCTTACTGGTCAACACCGGTGGATACGGACCACGCTTTGCTACGAGCCAAATTCTCGTTGTCAATTTCTCTGTATCATTAGTCCACTGAACTTTTCAATTTCCTCTTCGATCCTACTTTCAACCTTTCCTGTCTTTCTCCTGATGTTC